TCATCGGTTTTAATAACATCAATTGTCAATTCTTGTGTAATGTTCTCGTGAAGATTCGTTGAGCATAATGAATCTAAAAAAAAGAAAAATACACTAGTTTAATTAGTAAACGTGTACCATATTTTTGGACAAAGTCCGTTTAAATATCATTCCATTCAGTATCATCGTAGAATGAACAACCATTAAAAAGGGGGTCAATAAATACAGCATACTGAAGAATACACATGTTTTAAATGTCAGTGAAGCGTTTATCCATCCCTTCAGTAAAATCTTCCAAAACTTTTGATAAAGCTTGTTCAATTGCCAAAAACCTAAACTCATAGATTACAAGTAAAAAAGTATTCTTACATTTTCATTTGGAATTGCAATTTTCTCAGGGTCGGGATAATCATGGCAATGTAAACATCCTCAGAAGATAACTAAATCAGTAAATTTTAATTACTGTTAGCAAGTTTACTTGTCTAGAAGCTTCGTCCAATGATGCAAGGGTAGCACAAATTTTAACGATGAGCACAAAGTTCTCGTTTGATAGAATCTCTTCCTTTTGTGAAAGGCAAAATAGAGTAAAGGCAGCCCTCTAAAAACAATTCAAATTATAAGATACTTTAGACGCACCAATGCTATGCAACGATGAGCACAAAGTTCTCGTTTGATAGAATCTCTTCCTTTTGTGAAAGTCAAAATTGAGTAAAGGCAGCCCTCTAAAAACAATTCAAATTATAAGATACTTTAAACGCACCAATGCTATGCAATCAGACAACATGTAATAAGGAGAATTCCATCGTGTTGTACATTCTGAACGAGGAACTAATGGTTTTGATCCAGATTATGTGCGATAACTAAACATGACTTATAGACAAAGAAAAAACCACAGGCCTGATAAATATTTTTCGATAGAAGTTATGCCGATGAAATAAATTAATCGTTTCTTTAAATTTACTGAGAATCGGCTTGAGTGCAGCAATCCTATGGATTTTTTGGCACTACCAGATTGAGTTTATGGCTTGTACAATACACCCTGAAATAATATTACAAATAAGAAATAAGAAATTGAATTGAACAACCATTGGTGTCCTCCCTCTCGAATAGCTTTCCGCCCATTAGCCGCCCCATCGGAGACTACAGCAATTATTTTATCAGCAAGATTGTAGTGTTGAATAGTTGATGAGAGATCTATCAAAAGATTGTCCGATGTATGTCTAAAATAAAAGATAAATGCAATAAATATGATAAGTCTTGCCTGCCATAAAGAGCATTTGTCTTCAAAAGCAACGACTTTTTAACTCCCGTTTTGTCAAAGTAATGAGCTAAACGTAATAAGAAATGTAAAATATTCAGAGAAATCATACCTGTATATGCAGAAAGCTGCATCGTGAAGTTTTTGGAAGATCAAATATCAACGTAGTCAATGCAATTTTGTCAGCTTCTTGCAGTGCCTCCTTTTTCTAGTACGATAAATTAAGATAGCAGTTGGGTAAAAAAACTTACATTTGCCTCAAAATTTGCATTCAGTAGATCAATCGATTCCATTAATCTTTTTCTTGTCAAAACATATCCCGGTTGTGTGATTTCCAAAGCTGAGCGAAAACTCGGAGAATCGATCTAAGATATATTGAATATATGTTATATCCGATTTAGACTCAACAATAGTTTTAATAATGATATCAATGACAACATCAATACACTCAACAATAGTTTTGATAATTGCTGTGTTGGCACATGTTCTTTGACACCAAAAACAAGAACAAAAGCAATAGCTGCACCAAAATCCCGTAACTTTTGCCGAATTTAGCCATTTTAAAGTAAAAATATACTAAGTCTTAGTTTTATCATAGATCATTGATATCATTGATGTCCGTTTCACAACACTCTATCTTTTGCTTCGTCAAAATGTTATACATTTTAGTAATCGTTAATTTTTGCTTGATTCAACAAAAATTCCCGCACTCAGAATCAAACTCGGATATCCGATTTATATTGAATCTAAATCGGATATAACATATATTTAGGGTTATCCATAAGTTTTTGCGGTTTTAAAATCTATGATTTCTTAAAGCAATACATAAATCAAACTAACCACAGAAAAAGCCACGTTGTTGATTGAAAAGACTAAGGCCCATGCCTTGTCAAGACTCGCAATTCTTGAAGACGATAATACTGCCTTTGGTTTTTATTGCCATTTTATTGCCACCATTGCCATTTATTGCCACCTCTTTGTTAGGAGTGAGCTAAAAAACAGCTATGTTAATAGCACTAGTCAACAACATACTAATGCTCCCAATTTATTTGCATGATATCTCTCCAAGTGTCTCTTTCGATTGTTGGTCGACGATTGATATTTGTACGTCGTTTCGCAGTAGTTACATATTTCCATTTCGCCTCGCGTGACATTGCGCCAATACTCGGATTCCACATTGCGTCCCATTTTCTAAAAAAAGATGCTGGAGTACGTAAGTTCGAACGTAAGTTTAAACAGTTTATACCTATAGCAAAACAAATGAAAGTAAACAAATAAAGCGGTGCAAGCAAAGACAGACAAAGCGCAGAATGTTTTTTTAAAAACAATTGCGCCATTGCAAAAAAAAATCGAGAAAATATAAAATGAACTTTGTTGCAAAATGCTTTTTATATATTTACTGTCAAGTTATTCAGCCTAACCAACTGAATATTCAATGCGAAAATTAAAAAAAACAGTTTGGCGTAATTAATTAAATTAATTAAATGCATTAAATTTATTGCGTATTGAATTGGTTCACTTTAACGCACGTTATCGAATTTCGGTTCGGTTCGGTTAACCGAAACCGAAACCGTATTGGAACCGTATCGGATCAAAATAGGAACCGTATTGGAACCGTATCAGATCAAAATAGGAACCGTATTGGAACCATATTGGAACCGTATTAGATCAAAATAACCGAACCGTAACCGAAACCGAACCGAAAAAGAACGTTTCCGGTTGAACCGAAACACAAGTCTATTCTAGAGTCTTTTAAGTATTGGGGATTTGCAAATTTCTGAGATTTTGTTTATTCATTTTGATCCCTAGTTGAAATGGGTCGTTTCGCAAACGATTCGCAAGTCGCAAATCGTAAATTTCGCAAAAAAAAATCGTCAATTTCAATGTTAATATTGTCTACAAATTTCAATGTTAACAAATTCTATAAATCCGCCTCAAATTTTCCCCAATTTTCAATTACTTTTCTCTATTTTTAGTCATGTTTTCATTTTTCGAGCCCAAAAGCTCAAAATGGATTCAAAATGAAAAGTGCGATGTGGCTGTGCAATCAAAATATGATCATATGCTCTGTTATTGTTATTCGAATTTTCAAAAGTCATCATTTTTTATGTAAATTCTTTACAAAAAGAGCACAATTGAGAAATAAAGAGCAATGTTTATTTGGGAGGAAATTTCGGTATAAAAGCAATTGCTTTGACTAGCTAGTAATACAGCTAATACAGTTTGCACGTATAACTTTTTTGAAACTTTGTAATTTGTAAAAGTAAAAAAAATTTGCAAAAGAGATTAGCTGACTCTTTTCCGAGCCAATAGGCAAGAAAATTTCAAGCTTTTTTAAATTTTGAATAATTTTGAATGCTTTTGAATCATTCAATTTAATTGATTTATTTAATTTCGAAAATTCTGATCGATTGAGGTTTCATCATTGTTTAAAAAAGTAACTTTTACAAGGCACTGAAGTTATAAGCCAAAATTTATAAAGAAAACGGAAAGTTCCCGAATTTCGGCCATTCTTAGATCCGTATTTCTTCGATCGATCGTTCATCCTAACCGAAACTCTTACCGTAAATGCTTGAGCACTTATATCATCTTAGAATATGCTTCTATTGTTTGGAAAATTGACTATTCTAAATGCCGTATTCTCTCTAATAGTAGTGCACCCTGATCGTCGTCTTAAGTCCTCGAAATCTCGAGAACCGCTGATCCGAACCTATCGATGTGGGGTCGGAAAATGTAGCTGACGATGAGATCTTGTGGGGGATTTGAGTGTTGAGCTTCTGCGAAAACTTTGGAAGCCGTAAAATAGTTATCGACGCGGCTCGCTAGAGTGCACACTATTAGAAAGAATACGGTATTCTAGCTTGACTTATGAAGCTAGACTTGCTCTTTTTAAACTAAAAACTTTACAACATCGTCACTTTGTCATTGATCTAGTCGAAACTTTCAAAATCCTGCGTTGCACTGTTTAAATGCGAATTTTCGGAAAGCTTGTTTCTTATTAGAATTTTTACGATAAATTCCTCATTTTTCTTTCTCGTTTCTAATTAGAATGCTTTAAACTCGTGTAACTTTTGATCGAGTAGTGCATAGCGAAAACTGAAACGATATTTCCGACCCATCTTAGAATATGCTTCTATTGTTTGGTCTTCCCGTTCACAAGAGAGAAAATACGGTATTCTAAGTATTAAACGTTTGGAGAAAATTTAGAGGATGTTCACAAAAATCGCTTTATGGAAAATTGACTATTCTAAATATTCTAGCTTGACTTATGAGGGTAGACTTGCTCTTTTTAAACTAAAAACTTTAAAACATCGTCACTTTCACATTGATCTAGTCGAAACTTTCAAAATCCTGCTTTACAAACAGATTAGCCCTTTTTTTGTTGAGTTTTTAAAATTAAACCCGAGGTCAGAGTCCAGAAGTGGTTTTGCAGATTCACTTTACGTTTAGCGCTTTTTTATCAAACTGATTTCCCGTTAGAGCCGCTAGGTTATCGAAATTGCTCCCAAATTACATACGAGAAATTCAGTCACTTTCCATTTTCAAGAAACAAATAGAGGCTCTAGATCTAGGTAATCTCATTATTGCATTTTCACTCTATCTTGTATCTTCGTACCTTTCTTTTGTCTCTACATTTATGACCCGCTGACACTCAAAAATAACAATAAAGTTTGAAAAGTCTGTTTCTAGCACCGTTAAAATGAATCCAGCTTCAAAAAGTTCTTGCATTTCTTTAATTCCCTATTATTTAGTGCATTCAACAATGAGAACTTTCTCGATTTATTTCCTTCTTTTCACTCTTTTCGCTGCTTCGATTCTTTGTCAAGCTGAATCGATTCGGATGAAACGTGCGACCTGTTGGAGTTGGGACGGAGGAGACGATTGCAGGAAGAAATGTCAAGACATGACGAACAGTTGCACAAGTAAGTAAACAACAACTACACACAACAACTAACGCACACTAAACTTTTGCTCATTTCCGGCTCAATTTGAAGCTAGACAATGACAAATAGACAACTAGAAAGGGATAAGCACAGGGGAGAACACATAACAATAGACAAATCATTCAATAATAACAATAGTAACTAAAATATCAGTTTGGCTCGGAGCTGACAATAGATTTCAACTACTAAAAACTAATCTAGCAATTTAGGCCAGCACAAAAGAGCACTTTGTTAAACTTTTAAACAAATTTTCATCGTGCACCGATTTCTTTTTCATTTTTTAAAATACAAAATGTACATTGTAAACAGAACAATGCAATTTATAACAGAATCATTTTTGAATATAGCTTAGCTATCATTTAGCGTTTAAAAATATGCCAATGCCAATGCCAATGCCAATACCAATACCAATCCCAATCCCAATCCCAATCCCAATACCAATACCAATGCCAATCTCAATACCAATCCCAATGCCAATCCCAATACCAATACCAATCCCAATGCCAATACCAATACCAATACCAATACCAATACCAATCCCAATGCCAATGCCAATACCAATACCAATACCAATACCAATACCAATACCAATGCCAATACCAATACCAATACCAATACCAATACCAATACCAAAATATTACATTTTAAATTTCAGACGAAAAATACGACACCGGGCACTGTGAATTCTCGTGGATTGGGGCGACTTGTGTGTGCAAACCGGAATGCGATGAGTAATCGGAGAAAAAATTCGACATTCGGAAATCATTTTTCCATGTAGATTTTGTAGATTTTGTAAAAATTTCATTACTTATTAGTGATTTCAAATAAAGATTTATCTGGCAATGAGAAGCTTTTTTCGAACTAAATGAGCACTGGCTTACAAGTTAGACTTGAAAACAAACAAATTTGGCTTAAAACAAACAAATTTGACTCGAAACAAAACCAAGATAGGCATCTTAAAGCTTAGTCTGCACAAAAATTTAAATAAACATAAAAAGTTTCAAGAAAAAAGCTTAGATTTCATCTCCAAGTGAGATCACTCAAATGATTGTTCATCGTTTTTGTTTGTTTCGAGCAAAGAGCGAATTTTCATTTCTATTTTCCCGAAAATTGAATATGAAAAAGAATGAAAGAGAATGGAATCAAAAACGAACTTAAAACATTGGCCAATTGGAAGAAAATCGATTCGGCTTCACGTTTTGTTTGTAAATTTTAGTCGAGATTTTAAGTCGAAATTTTTTTGTCGTTTAAGATTTGAAGAAAAAGATTATCATGAGGATTTTTGAAACATCGTTTTTATAAGCATACACTTCATCGCTTGACCGCTCAAGACGTGAGAATTTCGCAAATGTGGTTTTTTTTCTAATGTGGCTATGAAACTTTGATACAATTTTACAAATATTGATTATTCTAAGGTAAATTTTTTTGCGTAGATTCCGAAAATTCATAATTTCAGAGCGATTCTAGCACTCTATCATCAAGAAAACACAGCTTTGAAAAGCAAAAATTTTGAGTATTCAATCTTGTGCGCGCTGAAATGCGTCAAAAAAGACATACCGTATTTCTAAATGTTAATATTACAATGAAAACCTATCGTTAACCTTAGCCGTTAACCTACACTACTGGACAATGAAATATCATATTTGAAAAAAGATCGTCACTTTCGCGCGTCTATAACTCCCTTTTCTTGACCGTATTTCTAAATGTTAATATTACCATTGTGTAGCCCTTGAAAAGAGCTTTCAGAAAATGTATAATACTAATAGTTTAAACTCAAAGACAAAGGGAGTTACAGACGCGCGAAAGTGACGATCGTTTTTCAAATATCATATTTCATTTTCCAATACTGTAGGCATTTTTGTAAGCAATTACAGGGATTTAAAGTTGGGCTTGGAAAGCAATTACAGGGATTTAAAGTTGGACTTGGAAAGCAATTACAGGGATTTTGGACAAGATAAACATCTTATAGTACATGTTGGTCTATAACTTTAATCACAAGCATCAATTAAGTTTCCATGGAAAGGCATTTAAGCAAGAATTTTGAAACATGAGAATCATTTTTCTGTTTTCGAGAGAAATTGAAGGGTGAGCCTGTCGGATCCTAGAATATCTTGAGATTTCGATTAAAGTTTTATAAATATAGACTTCTAAATCTAGTTTGATACGCAAGAATATCTATTGCCTGAATATCTGAATATCTAATAAATAAAAAGATATCTCACCAAGATTAGCATTGTCAAAAGTAGATGACGATTGTCCATTCCCATTGTGGCGCTTTCCATTTCCAGAAGAATTTCCAAAAGAATGGAACTAAAACTTTTGATAGAAGCAAGACAAATATCTTTAGAAACTAAATAAGCTAATAAAGCTAATAAAGCTTTTTCTTTGATCTTTAACTCTAATATCGTTTAAATTGACAGTAGAAAGCAAGTTTCAACTTTTTTAAATACCCAATTGAAAATTTTCAAAGAATCCAGTGTCAAATTCTAAACTTTAGCTATTTTCTGCATTTTTTAGGAAATATTAAACATTAAAAGTTAAAACATTAAAAATTGTTCTCTGAGCTGATAAGTTGCTACTGCCTAAGCTGATTTTATATATATGCTTTATTCAGGGGGCGAATAGAAGCGAATCAGATAATCATAACCGCATATAACATCATTTTGTTAAATAAAATTAAATCTAGATATGTTTCTAGTTCTTATTAAATCAATTAAATCCTATTAAATCCTATAAAATCCAATAAAATCCTATATATGCTTTATTCAGGGGGCGAATAGAAGCGAATCAGATAATCATAACCGCATATAACATATTGCTACAATATTTTCAAAAAAAAAAAAAAAAACTAAAAATAGTAAAGTAAGACTACAGTTAGACACAGGTACAAAAAGATTAAATATAGGGCAGCTTTGACATGGCAATAAGATCTAATTCGTTTACAGATTACGTTTACAGACTTTCAATTTTCCTACAGACGAGAAGATACCAAACGGGAGCTGATTCCAAACCCTACTAAAGAATGATAAAGGATAAAGGTTCGCAAAAGAATGATAAGGGGAAAGATGATGGGGATGAGGAACGACCGACATTTGATAACGATCACTACGTTTACTTCTAGGAATTTCCACAATTTTCAAGAGACTTTGAAATTTTGGATGCGACTTAGGGTGGAAAAGAATTTTATAGCAAAAAAATCAGATGAAAGCGATATAAAAGGGGTTTTATTAGGTTGGTGCAAAAGAAATTTCGGTCGATATAAAATGTTCTTATTTTTTTAATCTGAAGAGCTTATTTGATGTTCTTTTGTGCATTTGTACTCTTGGATATTTACTTTATTTTCGCATTTTTTCAAAGTCAGAGCTTTCACTTTTTAATTGATTTTTGCTTTAGATCATGGTGGATCAAAAGTATGTTCTGCGCACGTGTCTTCTCTATGACTTCAAAATGGGCAAAAACGCTGCTGATTCACATCGTGATCTCTGTTCCGCCTTTGGAGAACAGGTTATCACCGAAAGATCATGCCCGCTCTGGTTTGCCCAATTCCGAGATGGTAATGAATCCCTTGAAGACGAATCGCATGGACATCGTGCCACAGCCATCGACAACAATGAATTGGAACAATTAATTGAAGCTGATCCAATGCAAACAACACGAGAACTTGCCAAACATCTCCAATGTGATCATTCAACAATTGTACGCCATTTGGAAATAATTGGAAAGACAAATCGTAATGGACAATGGGCTCCACATCAATTGAGTGTTGAAAATCTGGGAGCACGCGTTTCGATCAGCCATATCTTGCTCCATAAGTCGAAAAGAAGCCATTTTTTTTAGACTATCTTGAGATGGATGGGATGTGGATTCACTTTGATAATACTTCTCGAAAAAGACAATGGCTGAGCAAAGGTCAAGCGCCAATTCCACCCCCAAAGCCGGATTATCATGGGCGCAAAGTGTTGTCTTGCTGGTGGAATACAATGGCCTTTTTCTTTTGAATGTAATTAGAGCCCGGGAAAACAGTCGATTCATCTTATTTTTTTTCAACAACTCAAGAAGGTTGACGAACTTTGCCGAAAAAGGCCCAAATCCCTCAACTATCAACTTTCTCCGTGATAATGCTCCAGCTCACACGGCAAAAACCTCTTGTAAGGAACTAGAGAAGCTAGGATGGAAGGTCTTACCACATGCGCCGTATAGTCCAGACTTAGCACCCTCCGATTTTCACCTTTTCAGATCGATGCAACATTCCCTTGAGAATTGCCAGTTTAAGAATGCAAAAGAAGTCGAAAATTGGTGACCAACACTTTGCCACCACATAATCAGCTGCTCTATTGGTGTTTTAAATTAATTGTTATCTAAAAATTTTGGATGACTTTAATGTTTGTAAAAAAACGAAATTTCATTTGCACCAACCTAGTAAATCAAAAACTATAAGTCTAGTCTCATAATTTGGAATAAGAGAAGAAGGGAAACAACTAGTGTATGTTTTTTTTTAGTGAAACGCCGTTGAACATTTTTAACCAAGGTGATAAGTTGTTAATGGAAGGTGGCCATTGACCAAATTTTAGAGAGGGAACTAACAGTATACGATGGTGGAATACTCGAGCAAAGGCCGGCAATAGTTTATAAAAGCCCTGCGATAAGTCGCGATTTGAGTGATTTTAGGAAAACAAATGGCGCAAATTATTATGTTAGAAATTCTAGAAGCTTTTTTGGAAATGTAGTTTATGTGAGGATCAAATTTTAGAGAGGGAACTAACAGTATACCAAGATCTTTTACAGGATCATCGGCCAATCCTTGTGGTAATTGTAGGTCCCCAAATTTAAAGGGATATGTAATGAACCAAATGTAACGTGCTTGCATTTGTTTGGCGCAATTTGTCCGGCGCAGTTTCCAAAATTTACTCCACAGAAGGATCGAAGCAAGATCCTTCTGGAGAAGAGTAAAATCAGGGATGGGGCTCTGAGACCGAAGTATTTTAGGGAAACAAATGGCGCAAATTATTATGTTAGAAATTCTAGAAGCTTTTTGGAAATGTAGTTTATGAGAGGATCGAATCAAGATCCTCACATAAATTTTAAGGTCATCGGCGTAGAGTTGGAAATGTAGTTTATGTGAGGATCAAATTTTAGAGAGGGAACTAACAGTATACCATGATGGGGATGAGAAACGACCGAAATTTGATAACGATCACTACGTGTACTTCTAGGAATTTCCACAATTTTCAAGAGGCTTTGAAATTCTGGATCCGACTTAGGGTGGAAAAGAATTTTATAGCAAAAAATAAGATCAAAGTAAATACGGCGATATAAAAGGGGTTTTTAAATCAAAAACTATAAGTCTAGTCTCATAATTTGGAATAAGAGAAGAAGGGAAACAACGAGTGTATGCTTTTTTTAGTGAAACGCCGTTGGACATTTTCAACCAAGGTGATTAGCTAAACAATTTTCAACCAACGAAAGATTAGCTAAACAATTCAGACTCACCTCTTTCCCTTCACTCGTTTTTTCGTCTTCGAAACGGATATGTTTCCTGAGAAATTGAATTCTCAAAAAGTTATCATTCTTACCCAGATCCCTTCCGATTACTTGTCATTTCTTCAACAGCCAACTCGTTCTGAACATTTTTTGATTTCAAAAAGTTTAAAACGAAATTAGCTGAATTGATTGAGCATATCATATTTGAAAATTCAAATTTTAAATTCCCTAAAAAGCTAAGCTTTAGTAAT